AAAAAAAACACCAACAAAACAMCAACWCYAACAAYGGATTGTTTACACTTACCACTAAAACATTTCCTACAAAACCAACACCTTCATGGAGCTTCTCAGGAGACTTATGYCTGAGTGAATTCAAGTACATACACATTCCTGTTAAAAAGTCTTTAGGTTGACCAACGTCCATCCAAAAACCTAGAAGAAAACAGAACTACCTTACAGCTTACACTCTTGATCAAACTGAAGTTTCTCATTTGTCCTTTACTCTCCCTTCCCTCCCCATAAGAATTCAAGGCAATCATCAGCCAAGTCTAGAAGAGCTCCAATCTCCCCACAATTTTAATAATATTTAGGTTTCTGAAGATTTGTACAAATAAAAAACAGGAAGCCCAAAAGGAAAAAAATCTTGAGATATGAACTTAGACTGTACCTTGTAAATCAAAAGCAAACAGCTGACCATCATTAGCCATGTATGGAAAGACTTCTTTTTCAATAGAGGTAGGTTTTAACTGATAAAAYAAGTAAAGAAAACATTAATGAGGTCTTGTTCCCTTTGATTCCTATTCTACATATAAGTTAGTCTCCTCTGACAACCGTTATGAGGCTCTCAGAGACCTGGGAAKGARCCTCGTAGCGACTGCAAGAGGAGACAAATTCTAAGTGCTTTTGTATTGTTGAAGATGGAAAAATACACAAAAGGTACTATCAAAATGCAGTTTACCATCATGCATTGATSAARGAAAAAAGCATCCTTGGTTCTTACAAGTCTATTATCAAGGCCCTGTTTAAGGAGTATATCAATGTCCCCAAACTGCATTTCAAAACTACATATGTCACAAGTTTGGTTGATAATTCATCATAGGCAGTCAAACATTTGTTGCAAGTTTTTGGCTCTTGTTTTGCTGTTTCAAGGCGGAACTTTCCCTAACACCACCTCCATATCATGTACTACTTTAAATTTTTACCTCTATTCTGTTTAACATCTCTGGGCTGAAAATGTAAAGTCCTGCATTGATTTTGTTAGACACATAGACTTGYGGTTTTTCCACAAATTTCTCAATTTGTCCAGTTTTGCCGTCATAGACTACCACACCATATTTGGAAGGCTCTTCAACCTTGGTTACCTAAAAAATTAACAATAAAAAAATTACACTGAATGATAATTATGATTGTTTATTACCAATTATTTAGCATTGCATGGGAAACTCATTTTGAAAATTACACAGGGACTCCAACTTTAGCACAGGCAGCCTAACCGTACCACTATTGTTCCTTCTTTTCCATGATCTTTATGAAATTTAACCATATCTTTGAAGGGGAAGTCACATATAACATCACTGTTCAGCACAAAGAATGGCTCTGAGTCTGTAGTTAGATGGTCATGGGCGAGAGCAAGTGGTCCGGCTGAAAAAAAAAAAAAAAAGAAAACGAAAAAATCACCCAATAATTAAGATAACTTCAAAATCACATCTGTCATGAGTTGAAATTTCATATGGATTTTACCTGTTCCTAATGGCTCCTTTTCTAGTGAAATTGTAATTTTAACTCCAAGCTGAAAAAGACAAGAGAAGGATTTTTCGTAAGTTTATCTTAACTAAAGGTATGTAGAAAGAAAGATGAGACCTTTTGATCCCCAAAGGGAAGTACATGTACCAGAATAGATGTACAGTCTGTATCAAGCAATGATCGATAGATCACTATATCAGCACTTACTCTTTGTTCCTGTTCTTTCATTTCTTTTTCCAATAGTTCTGCTCGGTAACTGACAGCTAAAATGATATGTGTGACTCCAGCCTGAGATAAAATTAAATTTTAGCAAAAAATTAAAACAATCCAATAAAGCAATTATAACTTCAGAAAATTATGTAAATCATATTTATACAAAAGCATTCTCGATAATTGGTATCTGAGAAAGCTACAATCAGTTCAAGAAACATGTTACTTGTRAAGAGCACGAGAGAGACTKGGAAACGTTTGACCCCAAAACATCCCACAATTCCCAGCTAGCTGTATGCATGCAACATAAATACAAAACACTGTTTTTTATCAATTGTGTCAATATTGCATGAAAGAAAATTGTGATAATTATGAATGTTAGTAATTGATGAATGATTTAAGTTCATGATTCATGTTTTATGTGTCAAAGAATATCAACACACCCCTTTGATTCCCAAACAAAACTCGAGAATAGAATGAAAACATTAACTGAACTTGAAAAGAAAAACAAATTTCTGTAGTATCTACTCTTAAATTTCTGGAGTATAWTCTTAATTCTGGACTAAATGAACTGTTTCGAAGAAGACTGCAACGGTACATTCAACTTGACCTATCAACAATGTCAGCTTTTTAGTATTCTTCAGGGTTGTAGTGTTGTAGTCAAGATTTCAAATTCATTTGAATTCTAAAGCTTGCAAAACATTAAAATTCTTACATGTCAGAGACTAAAGAAAGATAATAATAACCTCTAATGTTTTTTCTCAATTTTCAATTCATACCGATGGAGTTTATACCAGTAAGTCKCGAAACAAAACACAAAATTTACCTCAACAAGAGCTTCAACTTGATGCAATAACATCGGCTTATTGCAGAATTCTACCAAAGGTTTCGGCCTAGAAAGCGTCAAAGGCCTTAGTCGTGTGCCATASCCTCCAACGAGGATTAAAGCTTTCATTTTGATCAGTTTTATACAAGATTTTGAACAAGAAAACACAGGGAGAAGTCGGTAGAACGGTATGGAAGCGGTTGCAACGTGTCGAACTGTATGTTAGGAGAATTGACCGATTGATAATCTGTCAGACGTGTGACGTGTCACGCGACTACTTCCTGCGTGATATTTTGATAAATTAATAATAATAATAATAAAATAATGAAAAGAAGTCCAGTCACTTTGTTATCTGCAAAAGCAATGGCACAATATTTATTTTCATCATATTTGATAAAATATCCATTTCAAAACTGCTGGAATGACATTTTCGCTTATGATGTATAATCTGGGAAGAATTTGAGTGACTGCTGGAAAATAATATTAAAAAAAGATAAACTCAAACTATGTAGACTAAGTAGTAAGAACTTAAAAAAAAAAAAAAAAAAAAAAAAAAAATACTTTTGCTTTGAAAAGAAAATGTGTTAAAATGCCGGAAATGACGTAAATGAAGCAATTGACGTCACGTGCTCTAGGAGCCCGGCTAATGGGGAGGTATCGTACAAGTTGACGTCCAAAACTGAAGTATTCCTGTTTTTCTGTTGCTGTTTTCTCCTCAAACTGCGGTCAAACTTTGCTTAGATCATCATGTCACATCAGACTGGTATCCAAGGTAAGGTTTTTCCATTTTGATCTCAAATTTCTCCTCGTGGTAAGAGTGATTTTGAGTGTTTTGAAATTCTGTTTCATGGTGAAGTGTGACACTTTGGTTTTAATATCTCGATTTATACTCGCATGATCTGAGAATATCTTCGTTGAATCTGCTATTGACATTGTTAAAAGATTTTACACTCGTTGTATATCGGCGAAAAAAAGCATTAAGGAAAATGTACAGCGTAGTACAAGGTGTACAAAGTGAGTTCAGCAGCAGTTGAAGTTGGGGACAGTTACTTGGAAGCTACCGAGTATCGCGGAAATAATTCACTAATTGTACTAAGTGCACATTGTCACCTTGCATAATAGAATATTGCAAATATTTTACAACATTTTGATATTATATTAATACTTTTAAGACTGAATTTTGCTGGTCTCTGAGATTCGGTTGATGAGAGATTGAAAAACACTGCAACACTTGTCCTTTGAATTCCTTCCGTGTAGCTTCTGATTTTTAAGTCAATATACAGTGATGCATTCCAAAGGTATATGATTTGTTTACAAAACATAGTCATTTTTATACCACACGGAATGTGCCCTCAATGTTCTAAATATGTTATGGCTACGACAAAATATGTTGGGGGAGGGGAGGGAGGGATTGTTTAATAGTTTTTGATAACATTTGAGTTAATGTGCTATATTTAAAGATCATTCTTTTAAAGGCCCAGTATCACCAATGATGCTTTGCAACCATTTGTTTTTGTTRAAMTGCTTGTTTCTAATTTGYTCAATGMATTCAGGTTTATACTTGACAAACAAACAATACGACACTCCACCTATAGAGTCAATTTCGTATGAGTGGGAAACKTACAGTAGAAATWACCTCAYAGTTACAACTAGAACGCAGTTACCGGACCTGGCCTGCACAAGTTTTGTGAAGCAATGAGAAGCAATTTGGTTACAGTACGATTACGGTTACAGCACAGTACCGTCCATTTCCCACTCATATAAAATTGACTCTATTATAATTATAAAAGAAATTATGTTGTTGACTTGTTGTAAAGTTCTTTTGTCTACCCTAGCATTTTCTCCCAAACTGGTCCTTATCATGCTTCTGACCTTGTATGCATCCCTCTCTCTTCAGCTAATGATGATCTCAAAGCAACATTTGCCGATTCTAAAGAAGGGAACATGAGAATTATCAAAATAGACATTATCGATGGTAAGTCAATGCCCACTTAGTAATGACATTTGTCAAGATTTAGTGACAGATACGTTACTTAGGTCCATCAGCTATTAGTAGTTCAATCATTTCCATATACATGTAAGCACAGAAAGTTTTCTCCATGTAGCACATTGTTATAATGTAATTATAAGTATACTATCTTCTTACAGAACAACTTAAACCAGTGCAAGTTCTGGAACCACAAAAAGATTGGGAKGCAGATATCCTTGTTAACAATTTTACATGTATTGTATGTGTTGTTGAGTTATTTAGGTTGCTGCTTCCTTGATTTCATTGCCCTCTGGAAATGACCAAGTAATGGAATAGCTAATTTACCATTAGATAATGCAGATGCATTTTCCTTGACTATTTCATACATTTTGATATGATCCCACCATTACTAGAGGCCAAGAAGTCCTGCTATATTCTTTATCGATTAGACACTAAAAACAACCAGGGCTACGAATGGTTGTTCATTGTTTATAGTCCTGATTTTGCACCAGTAAGTAAACAAAATAATAAATTATAAAGTATTAAAGTATCTGAGGAAGGCGATTGATCGCCGAAACATGTCAAAATTGAAGGCTGTTGTTTTGTTCTTAAAAATACTATATCAAATTCTACTGCTACGTCCTTTTATAACTGTTATCCCAATTTAGCATTCCATTTGTATGACTGCTGCTTTATTTGACAAAAGACTGCCTTAGTGCAAATAAATAGAAATCAACTTTGTTTTTAGAGGGTGAACACGTGCCAGTAAAGAACTGATAAACTTGTGGCCCTCTATACTCTCACACTCACTACCTCTACATTAAGTATTTTAGCACACAACACTCCTTACATGTTGATTTTTGCTGAGGGAGGAAAACTGGAGGACCTGGAGAAAAACCCTTGTGGCAAGGGTGAGAACAACACATCAAACAAACTCAAACTCACATATGGTCCGTGCCCAGGAATCGAACCTGGACCACAGYGGTGAGAGGCCAGYAGCTTAACCACTAGGCCACCCATGCCACCCATAAATGGGTTTACTGTAAGAAGGGTGGTAAAGGAAAGACTATACCACAAAGAAAAGACKGTATTCCACTATAGTTTGAGATGTCAGGGAATACAGGCACAACCTCAAACCAGAGAAAATTAAATTTGTACTGCTATTTGAACAAGAAAAGAACTTAGGCACAATTTATTGTGATTCTCTTCTTAGTCCCATTAGCATTGCATTGAATCATGTGAAAACCTCATCAGAATCATGGAAATTCACTGGAGTATGATGGACCTCCATGTTGTTTACAACGCAGATTGCAATATCCTCGTGTTTCACAACTTCTTTCTCTAATTTCATTTTATTAGGTACGAGATAAGATGTTGTTTGCCGGGACTAAAGCAACACTCAAGAAAGAGTTTGGAGGTGGTCATGTTAAAGATGAACTTTTTGGAACAGAGCAAGTAAGACAGTAGCATCAAATACCAATTTTTCTTAACTATAGGGATTATTATGAATAAAGCATAAATGGAAATAATGAAAGACTTCAAGTAATTAATTAAGCTTTTTTGTCTATGATTGTAATTGCTTGTCTTCATTACGGCATCTGAAAATCCAGAAAAAATAAACATTGAAAAAGTACAGTTTAATTAAAGTGACAAAAAAATAAGAGCTGCCAATAAATAGATGTATTCAAATTATTTATATGTGAATTTGTGGTACYTTTCAGGGAGATATAACCCTTGATTCTTATCTAAAGCAACTTGAGGCTGCTCATGCACCTCCCCCACTAACCTCTGAGGAGAAAGAATTACAAGATGTCAAACARCAAGAGGTGAGGCATCTCTCCAGCTTTTTTTTTTATAGATTTGGGCTTCCTGTTTTGTTATATGACTCGAGAGTTTGTGCCTTGCTTTAGAGGGAAAGAGGAAATTGAATGGGCTGCCTGTGGAGGAGGGTATTAACTCTTTGTTTAAAGAGGGTGATGTCCAATGAATAGTTTGGTAAACTAAAGCTCAAATCACAAAAATGCTGAAACATCCCAAACAGATGACTTCTTTTGCTGTTTATGTCTGATCTTGTGGAAGATTTGAAGATATAACATCAATTTGTCAAACTGAAATTCATGACAGGTTTAGATTCATCCTGTGTCAAATGAGCTCTTGATACAGCATGGACTGGTATATTATATGCTCTCTAATGGTAGAGGTAGTAATTTATTAAATCCTAGTTATGGGATTCATATTTGTATTATTGTCCAGGGCGAAAGGACTCATATTAGTGCGACCACCAAACAACAGCACATGACTGGTATTCAGTTTCCTGTCAGTGTCCAAGGAGTAGAGAGTTTACAAAGACTAAAGGATAAGCAAATTCAATATGTTCAGTTGGTAAGTCTATTTAAGTGCTTTTTTTACCACACTTGATGAGTTTATTCTCACGCGCTGATTGGCTGGTTAGAGTGTGTCAGTACGAGGACATCACTCTGCAATGACGACTGCGGACATAATACCTTGGTTCCAGACGTTTTCTCTCTTTTATAGATGTTTTTTGTTTAGTATTAATCGCATTTTTGTCTTTCTTAAATCTAAAAAGCAAAGACAACAATATAATACGATAAATACTAAAATTAAATCTATAAAAGAAGGAAAAACCTCTGGAAACAGGGTACGGACATAACGTCACGCGAAAAAATTGCATGGGTGGCTATAACTGCACGGTAGCATAGGGAGGGAGGGGATGGCCCCCGAGATTTTGGCAAATTTGATAAATGTGTGAAGGAAAGATTCAAAAATACTATTTTTCAAGCTTTTTACTGTGTTTGGCATCCCTTCCCTAAAATGAAAAAAGAAAAAGAAAAAAATATATAACGAAAGATGGGATAAAAATATAATAAAGAAAAAAAATCATTCATTGCTTCTCCCAGCTTCTATGGCATTTATCCGTATCCTTTTATTTTGTGTATCGTAAATGATTTTCTTGATTTTTTCTTGATTTTTTTATCAAAGGAATTGAATATTGAAGGTGAAACGATAGAGTTGTGCAGGGAGGACGAGTGTTTAGCCCCAGAGGACATTGCAGGCGTTACACCAACTGAAAAGGCTCGATTTCACTTCTACCTGTTCAAGCATACACACGAGGGAGACTACATGGAAACAATATGTAATTATAAAGAAACTAGCCTCCGTTGCAGACGTCTTATGTAATTCAAGCGTCTGCACCAGAGGTTATAAAAACGCCTCACTTAATACATATTATAGTCGAACCTCTATTTAGCGGTCACCCATGTGTCCGCTTAAGAGAGGTTGACCGGTTAATAGAGGTCAAACTTACAATAAATATAATGAGAAGTGACGGCTTGATGGAGGGTGACCGCTAARTGCAGGGCCGCTCAATAGAGGTTTGACTGTAGTTATACTGACAGTGCCGCACYGTATGTTCCGCGAGTTCCGGTTTGAGGATTTTGCGTTTACTGAGAAAATAMAGTATCTGTGATGTGATTCTACGTCTAGCCAAAATATAATGCTCTCTTATATGCCTGAAAAAAATCCTGGAAGTAAACTCATATGTCACATCCCCAGAAATCGCGCTTCCAGCCCGCCCTCCAATTCCCCAGGTCCAAGCCCACAAGGTTTATTAAGATGCCGCGACAAACGTTTTGATGGTTTTTAGTATATTAAAATTTCAAAGTTTGTCTGTTTTATTTCTAGTGTTTGTTTATTCCATGCCTGGCTATTCGTGCAACATCAAGGAGAGAATGCTGTACTCRTCTTGTAAAGGACCTTTGGTTTCCTTTGCTGAAACAGAAATTGGAATGGAAATACCGAAAAAGGTTTGTTTATTTGGTTGTTGTTTTAGTTTGTTTGTTGGATGGTTGTTGCTGTTGTTTATTTTGGTTTCTCACGACGTAGAAAACGAACCACTGTAGTTTCGAGCACTTTGCAAGCAATTTAGCCTCCTCCGCAGGCATCACTAAGAATCACGGGCTTCCTGTCTTTTTGAGGAGTCAAACGAGGGAGAATAGGGGTGAGAAAAGGAAAGCGTGTTTTTCTATCTCGTCACTAGTCCCTAACGGCCATTATGACCGTTACAAAGGAAGCCCAAACGAGGAAAAARGAGTTGCCTGTGGAGGAGGCTACAAGCAATTAACCATTTTCGCCACAAGTTCGTAAACGTGTCGGAGAAGTTTCGGATTCATTTCGTCAATCACTGATAGTCTCGACAGCTTTTCATCGATATAAAACACTTTACAAAATCATACGATTTTCTACTCACTCCAGTTTTACTATTTTCAACAGATTGAAATTTCTGATAGTTCCGAAATGAATGAAGGTTTTTTTCAAGACGAACTTCACCCGAAGAAAAATCTTCATAGGCCTAAATTCGCCAAGCCTAAAGCACCCCCCGGAAGAGGAGCAAGAAGAATAACAAAACCCAAAAAGGGCGAAGATGAAGAGGGTGGGGACTAGCAATTTTCTACTGCAAATTAATAGACGTCTCAGTGTAAAAATTGATTAATTTGTGAATCGTTTAAACATGGTAGCAATTAAAGAAAGGTGAATTATAAAATCCTGCACAATATAGAATAAAAAATCTTTATAATAGTTTTGTAAGAAATTGACAATTGATACCGTAAACTAAAATTATTCACGCTGCAGCTCAAGAATGAGGTGCACCCAGACTTCCTCAAGTCTTACACGATCATGGTAGGAAAAACTAAGCTTGAACGCTGGCCATTCGAACTTCTTTCACTCCGCGAATTTTATCTCCTTTCGTCACCGCGCATTGTTGATAAACTRTTGAATACACATGTAAGACTTTTTTATYATTTGAACGTCGAGAACGTAACAACATTGGAGACAAGAAACCGTGAAGATAGTCAGCACTTATAATTAAACTTAGTACGCTCTTACGCTCTGATACCGTAATGTCCAATTTTATTTCACAGGTTCAATGACTTGACTCTAATCTAAGATTAACTACTTAGACACCGTAGTCAATTAGGAAAGAAGGGTCCTTTTAAGTGGATATCGGTATTCTAAATTGTTTTGTATTTACGTATAATAGGAAGCTTTGCTAGCTGGAGTCTCACTTCACATGAGTTAAAATTAATTAGAGGAGGACAAARCTTTGCAAGAAAGTAACTTCCCGTTAACTTTTCTGTCACGTAAAGTTTGCATTAATTTTTTCTATCTAGTTCCTCTCAAGCAAGGACAGCATGCAGCGCTTAACGTGTCTCTCGAATCCTTAATCAGTTTTGGATTCAGAACATCTCAAAGGGGGGTGGCTAACTTAGGAAGCACTATTACTAGTAAATGGATAGATTTAGGGCTGTAGGAAATGRGMTTTCTTTTAGGCGAACTCTGCTTTAGTTGTTTTTTTTTTTAAATGAGTCCCATTTAAGTTCTTAATTTATTAACTAGCTTATCGTTATTCCTAACTCCATCTGTTTCTACACTAAAATGGGGTATGGCCAGTAGCCTYGCTATTTGACCAACGCCGCGATCCTCCCTTGTTATTATAGTGAACRCTTTAAATCGATTTAGTGAAATTGTACAAACTAAATTAACATAGCACAAATTTGAGGCAACTGAATGGAAACTTCTGTTACACTCACCATTGTACTTCAATGACTAAATTAAAAAAAAAAACGAAGAAATTGCACAATTAGTTTCACAAATCAATTGCTAAAACCGTGAAACAAAATTTGACTATTAAAGAAACAAACCTAAAAGGAAAACGATACAACCAGGGCGTACGATTGTGCAATATCTAACTACTTTAAGTGTTTTTTTTTAGACTCCTTGTTACGATCTTAGTAGCATATGAATGAAATTATAAAATGCTAAAATAAGTTATAGAAGTGGGAGTTTCGATTCTTCGTGTCTACTTGACGTGAGGCCATTTCGTTTTGATAACACGCACTTTTACTTTTCAAAATTAACAAGCTACACTAATTTGGTTGACGGCGTTTTGTTTTACGTTATATTTCAACAATATGTGAATTGAATATTAAACTGGAAAATTGTATAGTGGAGGTTTAAACGTTCGTTTAACTTCACTGAAATTGAGATTACTAGGTTTCAATTTGGTTTCTTTTCAACTAAGTCAGAGGAAATTTGTTAGACTTAATTCAATCGATCTCYTCACACTCCACTAGGGCGTGCATGCCACTTAAGAATATCACGAACGGAAGAAAGGTGTTAAAGTCGTTAAAGTGTTAAAGATTTTAGCAAAGAGTRCTTAGCTAAAATAGGCAAAAAGTCATGACGTTTGACGAGATCGAGTTGAAGTCCTAAATGAARGTCTCCTGGCTAAAAATAATTTGATATTTTTGTCGCAGTATTTAAACATTGCACAGATTTTGCCATTGAAAATAAACAAAAGGATTTAAGATTTTTAAATAACTTTTAATTTGCAAGCTGCAAAAATGGATTATATGGTAAGTAATCTCGCGCGCGCGCGGTCTTTTTCGACGCACGCGCAATAGCTCTAATTACGCCCACGGTAATACTTAGAGACCGGCTGTCGTTTAAGAATCACATAAAACAAACATTTTTTACTTTTATGGACAATTACTAATCCAAACAGAAACAAAGTCGTATATAAGATTGCTATTGAAATTGTTCAAAAGATTACAAAAAAAGAACTAAGGGAATTGATGCTAACCACCACATCACTACTTTACAACGCCTGTTGTGTAAACCTTTATGATATTGCAGTCAAAAAATCGTTAATAGCTTTGATAGTTTCCCCAAGAAATACAGAAGGATTATACTAGAAGCAACCAAAAGTCTGGCTTTATGGTGACAAAGAATCTTAAGTCTTTTACACTGACTTTTCATGACTATCAATAGTCTTAGTTTTCTAGTCAGTATTTGCTTCCATCGAAGTATAGTTGTCAAAAACTTAGCGTGCTTCAATATCATTCAGACCATTCGTTCTCTAATGAAATATCTATTTATTCAGCCGCTAATGTGACAAAGGGAAGACTTGATTATGCTTTGTAAAGTGAAGAGTTGTACCTAAAAAATAGCAACATTACGTTGAATTAATGAACACTCATGATGACGAGCGCTGCACAATACTATATTATTCTTAAGAAAACTTGAGATCAATATCAATCCTTTTTTTCAACTAAGAATTACTATTATCCATGAATGTCTTTGGTTTTAATTACAATCTTGTATATACATAGTTGAATTCTTTTGCCTTGTCAGGGAGGTGTTTGGGATTTGATGCGTTAGTCATATGTGATCTTGGACGTTTATAACAGAATACGACTGGRCTAGCTCTCTTTTCAATTTCTAAACTCATTAATGACGAGACTGTAATCTCGCTGTCCAAAGGCGATATTCGAAATGATCCAGTAATTTAATTTTTTTCAGTGCGATGAGAGTTCTTTAAAGATTGGACGCGGAATTATATTAGTGTCGTTCACAAGGAAGAGCGTCAGATGCCGCGTTCACCTCTCGTCTCTATTAAAGCAAAAGGTCTGCTTACAATTAATAAAACAGAAACAGAATCAAGATTTTTTGAAGTGAAGGATAATTTGACAAGCATCAGCCCATTTTGAATTTAATTTGAAAATATTTTCCTGCACCTCCAGCCAGATGGCTAAAACTGATTTTAAATGCATTTATAWWMARRWTTTTTCTTTGCGCCTTTGGTGAAATTTTTCGGAAGCTTTTGAACTGTATYACTTATCACATAGTGCCTCAAAGTGAAAACGCTAGTCCATAGTTCCATTTTCGTTTTTGTAAAAGCCAATGCTATAGCCTTGCATTGATCTAAAGACCCCGATAGTCTACTAGCYGATAGCATACAATTCATCCCGGRTTTTCATGGTCGCATGGATGAAATTGACCAGCTGGGATACGATCATCACCCACACCTCATAATACAGTTCCACCTATTACTAGCTGAGTCGCTTGCCGATGTTTCCATTGTTCAAACGATTACATTGAGCTTGATTAATAGACGCCATTTTGGATTTTGAGGCCTATGTGGCCTCGTTTCGATGCAAACTCGTCACCAGTATCCGCGCGCGTTATCAGTGGTTATGGAAGTCGTGTTTATAACCGGTACTAACTATATGGGAGTTGATATTTTTGCGGTGTTAGCACCATGGTCAATGGCGCATAAAGAATCATTATCTTATGTAGTACTTTATATAAAAAATAATGTTTTTAGATATTTTGGTTGACCGACTGCGGACAAAAGAGTTGCAGACGAGGCTGAGGGAAAACAATGAGACTCGTATTCATTTCTTTTGTACAATGGTAAATAAGAATATAGAAAGTTGGCTACACCGACTGACTAGGTGAACGCGATGAGACTAAAAATAACTTGAAATATGCATAGTATACAAAGATTGATTGGCTAATAATTTCTGCCCAATGGACAGCCTATTGTTATGTGTTCAATCGCTTCATTTCCATAGGCAATCGCTATTTTGTATTTCCGATTTATATTATGTGACGTTCTAACAGCTGATGACTTTATAATGCACAAGATTGCTGCACTTGGATGGATGAACATCTAACRGGCACCGGAGACCAAAAGTCAAGTTGTAGCCATTCGACTCGAGCAAGGAAGGAAGGAAGAGGCTGGCTGACTTTTTAGAATACACAATGAAGAAAGCACTCGTCTTTTTTATTCTGTATTCTCTAGTGGTTGCAATTTATAGTAAATTGGTAAGTAGATAAGTAAAATAATATAGTTTGGTTGTATAATTAAGTAAAAAAACTCAGCGTATGAATGTTTTTGTAAAAAGTTTTTTGGATAAGATTTTGGATAATCTTTATTTCTGTTTATAAATGAATATTCACAAAGCTATAATTCAAATATATTGTTAAAGAAATAGATACGAAACGGACATMAAGCTAGCAATGTCACACGCTTTACTGTTTAAACAGTCAGTATTTTTTTCCCTTTTTCCTTTCTATATTTTTTCCTGATTTTTCCGAAAAAAGAAGAAAGGGAATGTTTTTATGTCAAAGCATATATCGACATTTATTGAAAAAAATTCCAACAAAATTACCGTAGAAAAATATAAAATACTATATTATCGGTGATCACCAAAAAAAGCAATTGAATTGATGGCAAAAAACAAATTGCAATTTCATTTCTTGGATGATATGCTCACATATTTTAAAACGGAAACATTTATTGAAATAAAGAGAAATTGTTTGTTTATAGCTTGTCTTGTAATTYTCAGGACATAATTACATTTTCAGCATTTATTACACTGATTTAAGTTTTCTTTTCATTTCACAATTCAATCTAAATTTTTCAAGAGCGATTTTCACTTTTATTGGCCAATGGGCTTGCGCACTTTTGAGATTTGATTCGTCAACAACGTTTTCTAAGCAAATGATACAAATTTTAATCTTTGTCAAATCTTTCAGGTCACAATATAGCTCTCAAATCACTAGTCCAATTTTACCATCCTAATATTTGCTAAACCGAACACCCACACGCTTCTATTAGTTGTTTTACTTTCAAAATAATCGACCGGCCTCCCACGATATCGCCTCGCATTGTACATATTAGCCCTACCAGTACGAACAAATGACTTGAATCGCTCGTATAGCAAAGCTGCGAGTACATAYGTAGAAAAGATCCCGTCAGCACAAAGGCATTCATATAGCGTAAAGATTTTTGAAAGGCATTTTTAAAAGCCTTMAAGACGACTTCAATGATTCTTATCAAAATTTCACTCTATAACTATTTATATCCTCGACGCCTTTACCTCCGGCATAGATGCCAAGCTCTTTCATAGCTCTTTACAATAATTTACAAGCAATACAACAACAAGTGTAGCTGTAATCTTTCATAGTTTACAATTCAGTCAAGTCGCACTGATTTAAATTTTACTACCGGGCACGCCTTCTTCGAACAACCACCTAATGCAAATAACATGACCTTATAACCAAAAGAATTTTCTCCCACAAAAGAGACTATTGGCTGCAATACGCGTTTATATTGAACTATCGGTTTTAATGCATTTAAAGTTTACATATTGCGAAATGTTTCTAATGCATTGTCTTCCGCAATGGGGAGCGRTCCTGGAGTTCAACGTGCTCGGGTAACGACAGCTGTCTGGAGACTTTCTACTTCCGCTCGACGAATATTAAACTTTAAAAGCTTCAATTCAACGCAGCCCTCAWTGAATTTTTTAACTCTTGAAACAAGAGGGATTTGACAATTGAAATATTAGGAACACTTTTCACAAAAAGAATAGAAAGTCATTTTATTATTCGAAATATAAAATTTCAGAATCGATGTCAAGTGTTGGATTACAAAAGAAAAATTATGAGTTGAAGTGAAAATGGCTGGAAGCAAATGTTGTTTCCCTCGTTTATTAAACATAAGTAATTAACTTTGATGAAAAATACGTGAGCGAAAGAGAAGTGATTACTTTGTATTTCTCATTTAAAATTTGATCGTGAGTTTCCTACTGCGTTGGGTCAGTYTAATTCAGAGACTGTAACATTGTGGTGWAATATATACACACCCCCTCACTTCTCCGCCCTTGTTGTAGAACRCTTTCACTGAATTTCTTASCTAACGATAAACATGCTTAATTCAGAGCAAAATTAAGCGTTTACTTATTTGATTYTAACCGCACATGAACAATATTTATTTATCAAATGGAAAAGACGACGGAGCAAACACGATAAGAAATAACCGCCCAGAAAAGCACGGAAGAAAGTCAATTTTTTAAAACATTTTTGTCATGCGTCGAATTTGCATGGTGCACGCTTTCCAATCAAACCTCAGTTGAGCTTTGGAAAAACTTAATCAATACAATCGTGGCCATACTCGGTTTGAAAGAAAAATCCAAGAAATGTTTGTATGCCAGCCCATAGTGAAGCCCGATCGAATTCATTGCAAATCCAGTTATTTCGTAATTGTATCCCCAAAAATATCTTATAAATCATGGAGGCAATTAAATCAAAATCAACAAACGAGTCCGTTAATTCAAACCTCAATAGACCAAATAGTTTTCTAGTCGTCACTTGTGACGTACTTTTAARCTATAAATAGTCCACTTTCGATATTTTTGGGTAGGCTAACCACGCACAAGAATTGAAAATGAGGCYAGTGGACCGCAGGAGACAGTCATTTGGATTCCCGGAGCCTCATCTCCTGTTATTTTGTTCATATGACTTTTCAAAAAATTAAAATCGAAGATGAGCTATTGATATTTCAACTAGATTCGCTTTAGTATCTATCCGCGCGTGCCCTCACGGTAAAACGTGACGGCGGAATATCATGTATGTGCTCGGACGGTAGCGTAGGTGTTCATATTTGATCATTTGTGCGGRTAATGGAAAGTATATGGGAGTGAGTTTTCTCTGATACTGAAATTTGCTCAGAGCCAATGCAATATGTTCGATATTTTGTTTGATTAACCACGCACGAAAGACTATTGAAGACGAGGTTCAGTGGCCGGTTTGGCCGGTATAAAATAATACCTAACTATTTTATTTTCCCAGAATGGTGGAAACTAGCGGTAAACTAGTGTGAGCTGCGTCGGTGTTTCTAAAGAAACAGTTGTGTAAAAAGATAAATTTTACACCGTAAAAAATTGGAGAAATAACTTACTGACGTTTCGTCCTTAATCCTTACTCCGACGTAGGATTAACGTCTGAAACGTCAGTAAGTTGTTTAACCTATTTTTTTACGGTGTTAAATTTACCTTTTTACAAACTATTCAATCAGAACCTCGTCTTTAGTGGTAGAATATCGAAAGTGCGCTATTTTTGTATTGCGTTACATTATTCTCCATTATTCTCCGTTATTTCTGCAGACAGAAAAATGTTGGAGTCACTCCGATTGTGATKTACGGGAATGCTGTGCTGGCAGGTCATGGAAAAAAGCTGGGGCATGYGCACATCAACCTCAGATAGGTCACAAGTGCCATCCATGGTTGCACGTGAGTATTTCGTATAGACCTCTGAAGCTTTTACGTCATATAATGATACGCAATGCATTGTAGGATATATGTGACGGATCTTTTGTTATCTCCAGAAATTATTCCCACAATGCATTGAAAATCAAGTAGTGACGTAAAAGGTTCAGAAGTGATTGACATATCRTTGTGATTTTTAATCTGACATAATTAACTCAGTATTTTTTTTTTGTTTTTTTATCTTTCAGCCGTCGACGAAAACACACTGCCCTTGTACTCGCGGAACAACGTGCACTGAATACTACGATAAGAATTTTGGTCGAATGAAGTTTAAATGCATGAAATTTGTGCCTCACGAAATCGAGATCGAGGTGAACTCACCTCAAGATTAATGTTCACTAGTAATGTAATTGCAATATTAGCTAATAAATTCTCTGTAGGATTTGTCTTTGAAAGAGTTGTCTAGTACATTGTTTGGTCTGATATGTACTTCAGTGTCACTTTGTAATTCTGATAAGCGGTGAAACTGTTCCTCCTTTGTCTGTTCTTGCCTTAATTTCCAACTGTGTYCTTCTTCTTTCTCGCTACTCCTGGCTGTATTCTTCAGGATCTTACCTTTCTTGTACCCTCTGCACGATTCACGTGGCGTTTTCGTTTTGCTAATTATGATTTTAAGTTTTCTTGTTTTTATAAGATTCTTCTCCTTGTTTTTGTTCTATGATATTCAATCTACTATTTATTCAATTCTTCATCATCATCATTTCCGTCCCCCTTTCGTCTAACTCTCATCTTGCGTGACCTTAAATTTTAACTTGTCTTCTCATTTTTTCTCTTTGTCTCTTCATCCAGAATTTTTCCTATATTTTCCTCTGAGATGATCCCTTAGTTTATCATCTATTTCTTATAATTAAAACAGTTCGATAATGTCAAGGGGCTTAAAGGGACATGGTACACCAGCATCCCTTTCGAGCTTTTGCTCATCTTAAACTAATAAAACTATATCGTAATATAAGCAAAAACTTACTCTTTATTATCCCTTTGTACTATATGAGGGGCCTATATGAATGTATGTAGTCTCCTTCGCAGGCTGCTCCAACATAAACGGACTATCTTCTCTTCTTGGTCTTCCTGTGTTCATAATCTTGACCGAGAARAACTGTTTTTATTTTTGTTTTTGTTTTTGGCCTTAACACAGGAATCCCACAGACTTGAGTCGTCTGCGAAGGAGGCTTATATGAATGGAGACACAATAAGATTCGACCTTAAACTGATGAATGGAAACGGACTGCGAAATGATATGGCGTAGTTCATTTTCCATATATGAATCGAGGACTGTATGTGACTCAGGCCATCAAAGTGATTTAGCAACAGCTTCCAATACACTATTTTCAGTGCACAACGACGTTTTCTGAATTATCTGTGTACGCTGCAAGGAACTGGAACATGGCCTATAAATAAACAAGAGCCGGCGATTCCCAGGGGCCAAGGATGTGATGGAGTTGATCATTCCCATGGGGGCCTGACGCAGGGCTCCCTGTCCCTGCCTACAGTAAACATATTCATCTGAAAGATTTGGAAAATGAATTTTTAACACGACATGGATTCCTTAGAGCTTTAATTTAGCTGTATA